AAAGAAAGAAAGAAAGAAAGAAAGAAAGAAAGAAAGAAAGAAAGAAAGAAAGAAGAAAAAAGATAAAAATATAGGTCCTTACCATCAGGAATTCACCAGCATAACTCTTATTAATAGTATTTTTGAATGTATATTTATGATGCCAATTACAAAATCACCCATTTACACTTATAGCTTTTGGCAGTTGACAGCAAGTTAAAAATAAACAATATAGTCAATTAAAAGACGGTAAAAATGGTGTTGCCAAACATAATAATTAAACCATCTCAGTGGTAGGCTATTTATGTATTTATTTATTCCCTGGCTTTATTTTTTTTTACAAATCTTTGAATGGCAAGGCAGTGAATTTATCAACCCACCTTCCTCCTATTTCACATAACATCCCAACCCAGTGCTTGTGGGAGAGCTAGGTCTCTAAAGTACTCTTGGAAGAGAGCAGAATTGGGGCCATACAGATCTTGGGGAATGGAATTCCTCAGATCAGGTGGAGTCACAGAGAAATTCAGTAACGAATTATATGGTGGTAGCAATTCTTTTTTTACTTTATAACCAATCCAATTGGTGAAAGAAATGAATACTTACTAGCTTGCTTATTAGAAGTGTATCTTGTCTTTCATGCAAGAATCCAGTCAGTAAGCATACTGTTTTCTCCTCTTATTGTTTCTCACAACAATAATCTTAAAAGACAGTGACTGCCCCAAGGTCATTCAGGGATTTTTCAAGACTGAAGATGAAGCAAAAGTGGGCTTTTCCATTCCTATTCTAATACATTAACTATTGTCTCACATTGGCTGTCTGGTTTTAATAGATAACGATACTACAGAGTAGTTTCTCTAAGTGCTTTTCCCTAACCGTTGACATCAGAGGATAGCTAGGGAGAAAGAGTTGTCATTAATTGTATGCTTATACTGAAAAGGAGATATGGTCTGCAACCCTCTTTCTATAGGATGAAATATATAATTGCACAAAATAAAGAGCTGATGTGATCACTGGGAACAAACCCCATTGTTATATGCATTATTGTGCATGATCAACTCTGTATTTTGTAATAACAAACTTCAATTATATTCTTAAACTACATCTTTATTATGTCTTTCCTTGTATTTTTAATGGCAACTCATAAGCCAACCAAAGAAATCTTAAAAAGAATACAATGCAACTATTGAAGAAAATTTGAATTCTTAAATTATTTCAAGTAATGTATTATTGTTAGATTTTATAGCAATAGCACTTAGACATATACCGCTTCACAGTGCTTTACAGCCCTCTCTAAGTGGTTTACAGTGTCAGCATATTGCCCCCAACAATCTGGGTCCTCATTTTATCCACCTCGGAAGGATGGAAGACTGAGTCAATCTTTATAATCCTTTGCTCCCAAGATTTTGCAAGAGCTTTAGCTTGAGTCCTGTGAGATACCATATGAGAATGCCGCAATCTGATTTTTTTTAATGTATGATCATAAAAAAAAATAACTGTGTACTTTTGGCTTTCCATTGCTTACCCCTGATGTAACCTTGCTTTATATTTCCTTTAAAATGTAGTTGTGAGAAACATTTTTACAGCTCATCTTGAGTAATATTTGGTAGACCAGGAACAACCACACAAAGACTATTCAGTAACAAAATTCAGTATATGCACTGCCCTGATATTAAAGCTTAGAAAAATACAACTTATAAATCATTATTAACATATCCAGCAATATATCAGTGAAATAGAATTAGCTTGAAAAAAATTCTTGGGTATTTAAAATAACAACTTACATCTATGCACAACAACTGAACACCTACCAAACTATTTTTTCTATATAATGTTTATGATTGGTTTCTTTCAACAACAAAGGCAACAGACTTTATAAAAATTATTTGAAAGTTACAAATAGAAGAAAAAGGCAGATTTAGCTAAAAGTAAGCATTTTCATAGAAAATATAAAGCATTATGGAAAAAAACAGGCAACAATTTTATTGCAATTCAAAGCATGCTTAAAACCATGTTCATTCCCTTGTTATCTAACACCCCATCATTAAAGATATACTGAAAATAAATAGACTCAATATAATCAGCTTGGATCAAAGGGATCAGTAAGCAAACTATAGCTCAATTCATGCATCATTCTAAGTCAAAATACAATTTGCCAGTTTTGTCTAGCAAATTGTATTAATCCATTCAAGTGCAGTATGCATATATCTACAGTAGATTAGCATGACACTTGAACTAAGTCTTAATACTGTCACCCAGATATTTTACACATTAAGGAAAAACTTAAAGCAACATTTCTGAGGACAACTTCAATCATATTTGTTAACATGTTCATTAGGTGACCCAACAGATACATCATATTTCATACTAACTGGCTTATTTTTCTGTTTCTTATAGAAAATATTATTTAAGATTTTTTCCACAAAATCCTATTACTGTGGAATTCAAATGAATCACTTAAGAGTCAAAAAGAGGAACAAAGAAGTCAGAATTGCAGATAAGATAAAAAGAGACAACAATTTAAAGTCAATTCCAGGTGTTGGTATCTTTAATGTTAGTAAAGAATTAACTAATTCTTCATCTCCTGGGCATTAAGGAAACCAGGACTTTCTGAGGACATAGCATTAAGGAGGAAATAGAAGACTTGTGTATAGTGAGCTTTAAACAGGATTTATATGAGCATTTCAGATTAAGCTATAGATGATTTTCTATTTAAAATAAAGCTATACTCAAACTAATTTTGGGAAGTTTGTTGACTATGTGAAAGTCCAGTATATGGTAGTTTGGCTATCACCTTGCCTGAAAGCTATGTAAAAGTAATGAATAGATTATATAAAATCAAGAGGCTACCTGTGGCCATAACCATTTAGCACGTAAGACATTTTTCATAACAATCCAATTTTTCACACACCTACCCAGAAGCAAGTCTAAGTAAGTTAAAAACAGCACTGACTTCCACATAAACAGGCACAAAACCTACAGCTTATATATCACAAACACAACACATGTATTTTATACACAGATGGAGGATTTTTCCCCACAGGACAATGGGGCAGAGTTCACATGACAAACTCAACTTTTCACTCACAGCATCACTACCCAAGACACTACGACCCCCAAAATAAATCGCATTTTAGCTGGATTGATTCAGAGGCAACCACCACGAAATCCCTGCATTTCTGCTCTTCTGCCCTTTTGATTCTCCCCAGCCTGGTTTACAACACAACGTGCGAGAGTAACTGCTGGATTTCCACCAACGTGTGGAAGGAACCACAGCATTCAATCTCGTTTCAACCCAAGTTTGCATGCCCTGTCTGATCCCTTCACGGTTGCATCAATTCAAATCCATAATCAAAGGGAAGGAGATGAGAAAAACAATTATCACGGGCTCCTTCTTAACACTAACCCTCGGGTGAACTCCAGGCAATTCTGAGCAGGTAAAAAGGCCAGGCGGGAGGCAAGAAGGGGACGAATCTCAACTCCCACATTCGGCATGGAGGAGCCGTCACCGGTTGACCCCTCGCTTTCAAGGGCCGCTCCGAGTCCAAAACCACCCCGGCCCCGGTTGCCAAAAAATAATAAAAATAAAAGTCCCGTTCTTCTCCTCCCAGCGGCCCTGCCCGACACCTTGAGGGTAGCCCCACGCTCCCTTCGCGCTCTCTCAACGTGATCTTGCATCCAAGCGCTCAAGGCGGAGGGAGGACAAGGCAAGGCGAGGCGGGGGGGGGGGGGGGGGAGGGGGGAAAGGGGGGGCGGGGGGGGGGAGAAGGCAGTCACCCGGGAATCCAAAGGCTCCTCCTGTCAGCTCCGTCAACCGACGCACCTGTGGCGGCGTCGGCGTCAGACAAATACCGGACTGCCTCGGCTTCCTCAGCGCAGAGACGCTCCGTGGCCTGGCTGATCTGCCGACGCCGTGCTCGCAGCGTCCCGGCCCCTCAAAGAGAACCTGAGGAGCCGCCGACGCCGTTACTGCTGCTGCTTAGGAGGGAGGAAGCGGCCACCATGTTCCTTTCAGCGGGCAACTGGAGGCGGATCCGGGGCCCGCCCAGGAGGCGGCGGCGGCGGCGGCGGCACGACCGAGGAAAGAAGCGAGGCCCCCCGCCGCCGAAAAGAGCTTCGCTAGGAGGCGCTAAGCAGCAGCAGCAGCGCGGAGAGGCCTTCCGTTGGGGGCCTCGGGGCTCAACCCGGGCCTCGAGGCGGAAGCCTTTCTTGTCGGCCGCGCTTTTCGACGTTTAGGGTTCAATCTTTCAAGGGCGTTTACGGGAGAGAAGGAACTGAATTCGGTGGCTTCTTAGTAAGTTAAACTCTCTAGAAGCTGAACGGAAATCTTTTTTGTTTTGTTTTTCCCCCTCCCTCTCCTCAAGGATTAGACAGTCCTCGACGTACGACCACAATGGAGCCCAACGTTTCTGGGGTTAAGCAAGACATTTGTTAAGCGAACTTTGCCCCGTTTCTTGCCACAAAATTGTTTTAAAAAATCATTACAGTTGATAAGTTAGTAATTGGGATAGTTACGTGAATCTGGGCTCCCCATTGACTTTGCTTGTCCAAAGGTGGCAAAAGGTGAGCTTGGGACACAGCAACGGTCCTATGTATGAACCAGTTGTCAGGCATCTGAATTTTGATCACATGATCCTGGGGGCGCTGCAGAGGTCACAAATGGTCATAACATGAGTCACTTTTTTCAGGGCCCTTGTAACTTTGAACGGTCACTAAATGAACTTGTAGGTCGAGGACTACCTCTACTCACAACAGTGTTTCTTAAAGACTCCAGGGAGTCCTCCAAAATCCCCTCAGCGGTCCCCAAAATCAAAATTAATTTGCCAGTCAATTTTGAAAAATAATAAACCATATCAAAATCCTTTCATATAATCTTAACCAGTAGTAGTGAATGTGTGAATTTTAATTTATAATAAAGTAAACATTGAAAATATAACCCATATAAGCAAAAGCTCTTTTGGGGTCCTCTGTAATTTTTAAAAATGGAAAGGAACCTTGACAAGAAATTAAGAATTACTGACTCAGAATGCTACTGTTATTCCAAAATAATTCCAAATACTTTATGTTTGGGGTTTCTTTCCACAGGCTTTTTCTTTAGTGGAAACAAGGTTTTGAGTGCAATCGTGGTGCAAGCTGTACACCATTCCAATTGGAAAGGTCCGTAATTTATTAATAAAAATATTGCCAAAACATCATTTCCCTAACAGCTCGGGAACATTTTGGTGATTGTAAATTATTAACAGTGAAAACAGTCTAAAATACTAGTCAGGCGATAAGAGCAACAAAATCATAGGATCAGCTCGGCTTTATAGAGTTAAACCTTAAATTTGGGGTATGTTATAAAATGGCCCTCTTGTCTGAACCCGCTTTGTTGGAAGACTATTTGGCCTAAACAAAGTAAAATAAGGATCTAAACACCAGCGCCATAAAATTAGCACTTGAACAGCAGATTGAATAGACATGTACTTCAGCAGGTCATAGTTCTCCTTTTATAATAAAAGTGTTTAAAAGATTTTAAATGTTTGATTAACCCATTTAAATTAATTTAGACAGATTTTTGTGTAAGCTTATGGTCTATTTCTCCCTTTCTTTTGCCATTTACTGGTGTTTGCCATTCTAAAGCTCTTTTAATAAACAGAATTGTGGGAAAGAAATTGCATAGACACCACTTCTTAGGAATCTGAGCCAATTAAGGCCACACAATAGACAGCTATGCCAACAAACAGCAACATCTCCAATTAACACACATTCTGATATTGGACAGCCAAATCTGGGGCCTAGGATATTTCAGCAATTATTCAATAATTGTAAATGGGGAGGAAACTAAATGATGTGGATATAAGCAACCACAAATTTCTTTCTCTTCTCTCATTAACAGGGATATTATATTACAGATAAATGGAATACAAACAAGTAAAGGCAAGCAAAGAAATCACTTTATATATAATGCGTACTTAATCATATCAAGGCACCACATCTCTATCCAAGATGATTTAGATTTATTTTTAAACATTTTATTTTCATTTATTTTATAATTCAGTCAAAAGGTGTAGTAACAATAAAATACATTAAGATTCTTGCTACTGCTTTTTAGCTCTGCTTATGATCCATATAATGATGAAACCAGTGTCATTGCCAATGCATTGTAAGTCATATGTCTTATGACTTCAAATGGAGCACAGTGACTAACACCAAATAAATTAGGAAAACATTGTGAAATATTTTGTAAAAGCATAATGACTGGACTTGAAATTGTGACTATGTATTCTGATACTAGTAACTAAAAAAAAATCTATATCAGCAAATTACTGTCAGCATCTGTGACAACCCAATGAATGTCATAGCTTTGCTATATCTTTGTTATTTACCTGGTATTCAGCTGAAATGCTTTTTATTGAACACATTCTACTTTATATTGTTTCTGACTAGCTTACAAGATTGGGCAGAATAACGCACAGTGTTCCACATCAACAAGCAGTGTCAAGAGTGTCACTGTTTCTGTCCTAAAAAATAACAGCAACACCCCCTAACCCCAATCCATTGGTCCCAAGCCTGCAAACTTTTGGAAAACCTTTTAAAACTGAATTTTCCAACAGGCTCAGAGCCAGGGTGAATCTGCAGGAATGTTTGCTATTTTAATTTTTGTATTCCCTGATGTGCTGTTGGCCACATATTTGTTTCAACATTTAAACTTTATAGCAATAAACTATTCTGCAAAGATCTTGAACACTGAAAAGTGGATTTAAAAATCAGAATTTATTACATGAGTATTCTACTTAAAATTGGAAAGGTTATAATAGACCGTAACAACTTGTCTTTATGTACCCTGTGATGCTAGACAACTTAATCATTAAAAAAGAGGCAAGATTTTTAATAAACTGAAACTGAAAACAGGCTATGACATTACTTTAATTCAGGGGTCTTCAAACTTGACAGCTTTAAGACTTGCGGACTTCAACTCCCAGAATTCCTTCTCCAGTCATGTTAACTCAGGAATTCTGGGAGTTGAAGTCCACAAGTCTTAAAGCTGTCAAGTTTGAAGACCCCTGAAAGAAGACACCAGCATAATAATCCTACCAGCAGACAAGGGCAACGCGACAGTGGTTATGAACACATCTGAATACCAAACCAAGTTAACCAACCTACTCCAAGACCCCACATACAAACACCTAAACACAGACCCCACCACCAAAATAAAAGCCTCCCCCATCAGTGAAGAAATCCAGCTAAGAATCATACCCAGAGAGAAATCATCCAGATGCCCTAAGCTTTATGGTTTCCCCAAGATACACAAAGAAGGAACCCCACTTAGAACAATAGTCAGCTCCATAGGCTCACCTCTACAAAACCTAGCCAAATTTCTCGCCAAACAACTACAGCCCTATGCAGAATCCATCAACTCACACGTAAGAAACTCATTCCAGTTCATCGAGATCATAAAGAAACAAAACTTACAACCCAGCGACCTACTAGTGAGCTTCGATGTCATATCCCTCTTCACCCAGGTGCCTACAAAAGAAGCCTTGACAGCCATCCAAAACAAATACAGCCCCCCCAAGCTCATCCTAGATCTGACCAACCACTGCCTATCCAATACATAATTTACCTACAACGGACAAAAATACAAACAAATAGAAGGAGCACCCATGGGATCACCCCTCTCACCTATCATCGCAAACCTCTACATGGAACACTTTGAAACACAAGCTCTAGAAAAATATGATCACAAACCCAAACTCTGGCTCAGATACGTAGATGACACCTTCATAACCTGGCCACACAGGAAAGAAAAACTGAACAACTTCCTCACACACCTCAACAGCCTACACCCCAAAATACAATTCACCATGGAAACAGAAGCTAACAATCAACTTCCCTTCCTAGATGTCTTAGTATACAAAAAATCCAATGGCTCCCTAGGACACACCATCTACCAGAAGAAAACACATACAAACCGCTATCTACACGCACTCTCACACCACCACCCAGCACAGATCAATTCTGTAGCCGAGACACTCATCTCCAGAACAAAATGCTTAGCCGACGAACAACACCTAAAAACCGAACTACACACTCTCACTAACGTACTAACAGCCAATGGATTCCAAAGATAGAAGATTACCCACCTAATCCAAAAAGAAACCCCAACCAAAATCCAAGACAGAGAACAAGAGAACAGCAAAGCCCTCCTCCCATATATAAAAGGCACTACAGACAAAATCAGCAAGATCCTCCAAAAACACAACATTAAAACAGCATTCTGCACAAACAGAAAAATATCCACCATCCTAAGAAACCCTAAAGACAAAATCGAGTTAGAAAACCAAGGAGCATAAGAAATCCCTTGCACAGCCTGTCCCACCACATACATCGGACAAACTAACAGAAAAATAAGTGCACGCATTGAAGAACACAAGAACTCAATCAAAAAAGAAGAACAGAAAACTTCCGGTTTGCAGGGCTTCGGCGGCAGGCAGGAATCCGTGATCGTACGCGGTTTCTGCTTGGGCTCGCCGCTGGAGCGTCCTGAGCCAGTCTGGCTTCGGGGCTAAGCCACCCCGTAGAGGTGGCAAAGAGGGGGGAGATCCCAGCAAGGTCGAGGGAAGCCGCATCTTTCCTCCCCAGCTGGCTAAACTCCCTTTCCCGAAGGCAAACGAGCGGCAGTCAGAAATGGCCGCCTCAAAGAAGCACTCATCTGGAAAAGAAAGTGCAGGAGGAAGTTAAGAAGTGAAAGTTTTGGCTGACCGGGATAAGAAGCAACAACCAAGGTACCCTGGAATTTAAATTTAAAAAAAGATACATCGCTCCCAAAGAAGATTCGGAAGCAGCGAATGAAAGTGAAAGGGGAAAGTTTTTTTTTCTTTCACTCTCCTTCCTTACGTTGACAGCGAACAGAGATGAATGAGAAATCAGAAAAACCTGCTTTGGCATCAAGAGGTAATTAAACCGGATAATTAAATGTCAAGGGACAATAAGGATTTCTGAACATTAAAAAAATTTTTTTTTTTTTTGCTGTAAGTGGGAAGGGAGAGGAAAAGAATAAGAGTAGGATTTGGAAGGAGGAGACTGCCTGGAACTTAAAAGAATCTGATTAAATTCTAACAAGACTTCTAAAAGATACATATTAACTGGAACTTTGCAACTAAATAGTAACCCCAGGAAGAGAAAGGGAAAAAAGAAGAAAGTGTTAAAAGAAACAGCTTGTGTGTATTTGGATTGCTTGGTGACTTTGGGACTTTTGGAAATTATATTTGACTAAAAACACTTGGGTGGTTGTTTGAATTTTTTTTTTAC